TGATGGTTGCAATAACTTGATGCCTGCCCTAGTCAGCTTGAGCTGCTTTTTAAAAAAATTACTATAAATTATTGAAACAACAAAAAATCATGTTCTCATGGAAGTCCTAGATGAGGGTGCCAGCATGGGTTGGATTCTTGTGAAGAATCTTTTCCTGGCTACCTCCTTGAGTGCTGTGTGCTCACATGACAGAGAGAGAGAAAGACAGGGAGAGAGTCCTCTGTGTCTCTATAAGGGCTCTCAGCCTCGACCTGCTGAGCTCAGGTGATCCTTCTGTCTCAACCTTCCAAGTAGCTGGGACTACAGGTATGACCCATCTCACCTGACTAACTTTTTGATTTATTGTAGAGGCAAGGTCTCACCATGTTTCCCATAATAGTCTTGAACTCCTGGAAGGCAATCCTCTCACCTCAGCTTCCTAAAGTGCTGGTATTACAGGTGTGAGCCACTGTGTCTAGCCCTTCCACCAAAAAGGTTTAAGAAGCCAGGGCGAGGGTCACACACACCTGTAGTGACAGCTAACTTGGGTTACTGAAGCAAAAAGAACACCTGAGTCCAGGAGGTCAAGGTTGCTGCGGTGAGCTGTGATCCTTTCACTGCATTCCAGACTGAATGATAGTAAGACCCTGACTCTAAGTAAATAAATAGTGAAGGACTTAACCCAAGTAATAAACTTACTAAGGAGTAGTCTGAACTAGAACCCTGGGTCCCTGGATTTCTTATCTCAGATTCCTTTTGTACTTTCTCTTCTTACTTCAGTGTTATCTGTTTTCTGCTTCTCCTTTCTCAGTCTCTAAAACACTTCATCTGTAGTCCCTTTTAACTGCCTTCTATTGAGCTAATCCTGTTTAGGGTGAGGCCTAGAAATATTACACAGTAACTGTAGCGGGTGGCCACAAGCCATTCTTCTACTTCCTTGGTGCAAATTCCAGCCTCAAGCAGTCTTATTTCACCAAGCTGAAGAAATAGGCACCACGGTGATACCCTTGGAACCTGGGTAATTTTTTAGAGGTTCATTATTAAAGACTAATCAAAACATCAGTCTTACTCAGCTCATCCAAATGAAATATCTGCACTTAAATGAATGATGGAGAAATGGAAGTCTCCCTCTTATCTATCTCCTCCATTTCTCATGATGGCTTCATCAGTACCCTAGAATTTCAGAAATTAATGCTTTAAATCAGTTGCCTTTTCAACACAAGCATATTTTCTTTTCTTTTTAATCAAATGGCCTATTGAGCACTTGCCACCAGTCTATTCTTAGCCACTTTAAAATAAACTGCTCTATAAGAAATCCTCAGCAGACAGCTGTTCTTCCCACTGCTCCCTTGCAGTGTATAATAATAATAATAATAATAATAATAATAGAATAAATCCTCTTTCTTGGGAGGTAAGGGGGGGGACCTAATGGATTTTGACCCCATCTTCTCTTGTATAGATTGCTGCCTTTATTGCTGAATCCATGCAGAGTTGTGGTGGACAAATAATCCCTCCAGCAGGCTACTTCCAGAAAGTGGCAGAGTATGTACTTGACTTGGGCATCCTTGGTCAAACTGAGGGCACCGTGACTGTTCTGTAGGGCCATGCTGGTTGCTAAAATATTGACGTACTTCAGACTAACTGGTAAATAGCCACACTTGGTGCTTGCCCCGGGACTCCTAAATCCTCCTCCAGCCTTTCCCAAGAGCCAGCAAATAAAAGGTTTACAGTAGTCCAGTGGGGGTGTTTCAGAACTCTGTCCCAACCCCCACCCTGGCATCTGCTCCAATAGGCTGGTGCCCAAGCCTTACCAATGAGTAAACACTGGAAGATTAACCCTGCTCAAAACTACTTGTTCAATGATTTCTCTTCCCACCCAAACACTGCAATATGGCTTACTTTAAGCAGCACAAACTCAAGCAATATGGAATATATCTAATTTGAAAATTATGTGATCACATTGTAAAGTCAGTGACATTTATGTGAGGTTTGGAGTACTCAAGTGTTTTTAACAAAGATTGGGGCTTCAAGTTAACAATCTTTTTTGTGAACAATCTGTATCTTTGTGGGTGGCTTTGGGGACTCTTCGTGACCTGAAGGCATGAGACTGCCCCTTTGCTTTTCAGATATGTACATGAAGCAGGGGGTGTGTTTATAGCTGATGAAGTTCAAGTCGGCTTTGGTCGAGTTGGGAAACATTTCTGGAGTTTTCAAATGCATGGGGAAGACTTTGTCCCAGACATTGTCACAATGGGAAAGCCAATGGGCAACGGCCACCCGATGGCTTGTGTGGTGACAACGGAAGAAATTGCAGAAGCCTTCAGCAGCTGTGGGATGGAGTATTTCAATACGGTAAATGTTGGTCTCCAGCTGTAAGGCTAGGAGGGAAAAATAATGCATGTTTTTATATTTCCTGCCAATGCAGTAAAGAATAAAGCTCCGTATTTCCAGCTAACAACCCCAGGACCCTAGCCAATCCTTGGTCTAACCAGATTTTAGTCTATATGACAAAATGCTCCTTGCATTTTTCTTTGTATATCCTTGTTTCCTAAAACAGTCTCATTAATTTTTTCCAATGATAGATGGCTGCCTTACTAAATGCTAAATGGTGATATTTTCATTAATGGGTGATATGATCTTCTTTGTTTTGTATCATATTTAAGTTTCCAAAACACTTTTAAAGAGTTTGAATGACTCAGTACTATAAATGTTATATGACTGTCATGAGAGATACTCCATTTTTATCTTTGGGAAATTTTATTTCTTTGGTTTTAGTCCCAAAAGTCATAAGCTTTAAGCTTGGAAAAATTATTGTAGTTTGTAGTACAATATGTGTAACAGGACTTGTTACAGCTAAAAGTAAAATTCCAATCTGAGGACATAAACTATTTGGAGAAAATATCATTGCTGAGCTGTTTTGACTCAGCTCTTCAAGGGCAGAAAACCCTGTTTCCCTCACCCCTCTCCCCCAACAACTGAGCCACATTCTGAAATCCCAAATTTCCAACATAACATCTGTTTTTGTGTTTGGATAAACCAATAAATTCTTTACTTATTTATTTTTTTTGAGTAGGAGTCTCACTCTGTCACCCAGGCTGGAGTGCAGTGGCATGTTCACAGCCACCACAGCCATGACCTGCTGGACTCAGGAAGTCCTTCCACATCAAACCGTCCAAGTAGCTGGAACTACAGGCATGCACCACCACGCCTGCCTAATTTTTCTTGATTTATTTTGGAGCCAAGGTCTCACCAAGTTGCTCAGGCTGGTCTTGAACCCCTGAACTCAGGCAATCCTCTCACCTCGGCCTCCCAAAGTGCTGGGTTACAGGCATGAGCTATCGTGCCTGTCTGGATGAACCAATAAATTCTTGACAGTCCTTCATACCAATTATACAGCATGGAGAACATAATTTGGAATGAATTTTCATTCAATCCTGAATAAACAAAAATGTGTTACATTCTAAATCTGAGAAACTAATATAAGAGAAAATTTACTGAAATTATATCTTCACTTATGTATTTGTGAGCCAAATTTCTCATGGATAAAACAATACTACTCATTCAACTGTTATGGTTTCTCATTTATCTTTTTTCTACAGTATGGAGGAAATCCGGTATCTTGTGCTGTTGGTTTGGCTGTGCTGGACATAATTGAAAATGAAGACCTTCAAGGAAATGCCACAAGAGTAGGAAATTACCTTACTGAGTTACTGAATAAACAGAAGGCTAAACACACTTTGATAGGGGATATTAGGTATGTTTATCATAAAGTTATCACATAGTTATTCATTTTTTAAATGTAAATGGCTTATATTTTATCTTATGAATTTAAAATAAAGTACATGAAACTAAATCTAGAGAGCACCCCCCAAAAAAAACCACCCAGATATCACCACTGCTAACATTTAGGTGTATATTTTTCCTGACTTTTATACTTTTTCTTTTTTAATAATGTTGGGCAATTTCAGCACCCAAAAGATGAAAAGAAGGAACTTAAAGTAACTCTAAACAATCTATTGAAAATTATTTAAGGCCAGGTGTGGTGGTTCACACTTGTAATCCCAGCACTTTGGGACACCAAGGTGGGAGGATTGCTTCAGCCTAGGAGTTCAAGATCAGCCTGAGCAACATAGCAAGACCTCGCCACTACAAAAAGTCAAAAAAGTAGCCAGGTGTGGTGACATGTGCCTGTAGTACCATCTTTCAGGAGATTGAGGCAGAAGAATCACCTGAGCCCAAGAGGTCAAGGCTGCATGCAGTGAGCAGTGATCGTGCCACTGCCCTCTAGCCTGGATGACAGTGAGACCCTAACTCAAAAAAAAAGAAAAGAAAATTATTTAAAATGCTATCCTAAAAATCTGGATATTTTTCATAGATATATATAAACATTTACCATCATTAACATCTTTAGAAACTAGCATGAAAGGGTTGTTTTTTAATCCTTTTTCTTTTATAATTGAGACAAAAAAACTGGATGATGAAAACTAATTTGTTTCAAAAACTAGAAACAACTGTGAACACTAGATAGGTAACTTGGAATAGTTAGAATTAAAGTTTCAAATTAAACTGAGGCTGGGGGGACAGTGCTAGCTTTTTGTGACAGTGCAGTGTTTGATAGTGTGTCAAGTTTTCTTCCTTCACATCCCTCAGGGGCATTGGCCTTTTTATCGGAATTGACTTAGTGAAGGACCACCAGAAAAGGACCCCTGCCACAGCTGAAGCTCAGCACATCATCTACAAGTAAATTCACCCCCCCCACACCCACCTGGTTGGTATCATATCTTGGCCCAAGGATGCCCACCCACTTGAAAGATTGTTTTCCTTCCCCCCATCTCTCTGAAAAAGAAAATGTTAAGACACATGCAATTGATAAATGTGAGCTTCTTGAATGCAGAATACTTCACTGCTCTGTGTTCACCCCATTCTTAAGTCATCTTAGTTATGCTTTGTATACACTCATGGATATTTCCTGCACGAATTAGGATGAAAGAAAAACGTGTGCTTCTCAGTGCTGATGGACCTCACAGAAATGTCCTTAAAATAAAACCACCTATGTGCTTCACTGAAGAAGATGCAAAGTTTATGGTGGATCAGCTTGATGAAATTCTAACAGGTTGGTCCATGGTCCATGAGTCTTTAACTGTCTCTTTGCCCCTTCCCCAGACTTCCGCCCAACTCTCCTGGCCTATTCATCCATGACCATGTGCCTCTTGTTCTTCATGACTGAAGTGAGGCAGGGCAGAAATAAATGTGTAACTTTCCAGTTAGGACTACAGAAAGATATCTTAAAAATACCAACTACATGAACTCTTTTCTAAGTAGAAATTATCAATTTGTACTCACACATCTCTAAACCTAAGTTTTTACTAAAATAGCATAGTGTTTTATTTTTATCATTTATGTTTGCTTTGGGATAGCTAGTATATTTAAAACTGTATGTCTGCATTATACCTTGTATTAAAGATAATGCAGGAGTAGTATTTCAGCACTGTACCATTAGAATACATGAAGCATTCTAATTAAAAATATAGGCTATGGGCTAACAATTTTGCTATATGCTGAGTTGTTTGACTTTGTGTTTTAACTTTTTTCTTCTTAAAATATTTTTGTTTTATTAAAATTTAATTTGTGGAGTCTCTTTGTCATTCAGAATTATAGCATATCATAATAATGTGTCTTTCTTTACCTATATTATGTGATCAGGCTAATTTATTTTTCTATTATGAACATAAATTGGATTAGAAAGTAAATTAGCCAGACTGGGCAACATAGTGAGATCCAGTTTCTACAACAAAAACAAAATTAAAAAAGGTAACTGTGGCCAGGCACAGTGTCTCACACTTGTAATCTAGCACTTTGGGAGGGCAAGGTGATAGAATCACTTGAGCCCAGGAGTTCAAGACCAACCTAGGCAACATAGCAAGACCTCATCGCTACAAAAAAATTTAAAAATTAGCCAGGGCTGGTGACATGTACCTGTAGTCCCAGCTACTGAGGAGGCTGAGGTGGCTGAGCCCAGGAGGTCAAGGCTGTGGTGAGTCAAAATCACATCATTGTATTTTAGTTTGGGCAACAAAATGAGATACTGTCTCAAAAGAAGAAGGAGGAGAAGGAGAAGGGGAAGGGGAAGAGGAAGAGGAAGGGAAACTAAATTAGAATTAACACTGTAAAGCCATGTTGGAAATCACAAGCACTCTCAAAATGATTCATCATTTATGTTGTTACCCTAGTTAGTTATATTTTGAAGATTCACCTTCTCTGCTTGCTTCACAGCCTTTTGACGGTTAGGATAAGGCTGAGAAGGCAGAAATCGATGTAGCATACAAAATAGATCTTGAATGTTTGGAAACTTGGGAGTCACCCAAGTTATTCATAATACAATCACTGTCTTTGGACTTGATATGCTCACAACCAGACCTGGCAAGCATTCCTCACAAGCCTGCATGTCCTCTAGTCTCATAAGGACAGGTGGAAAAGAGAGCGTGTTAGGGCCATCTGTCACTACGAGATTGAGTCAACTCAGAGCTACGAGATTGAGTCAACTCAGAGCTACGAGATTGAGTCAACTCAGAGCTTGAACCTTATTAATAGTGTGCCAGAGCCAGGCACAGTGGCTCATGCCTGTAATCCCAGCACTTTGGGAGGTGGGGGTGAGAGGATTGCTTGAGTCCAGAGGTTTGAGACCAGCCTGGGCAAAATCAAAAAAATTAGCCAGTCATGGTGGTGCATGCCTGTAGTTCCAGCTACTTGGAAGACTGAGGTTGAAGGATCACCTCAGCCCAGCAGGTTGAAGCTGCAGTGGCTATGAGTATGCTATTATACTCCAGCCTGGGCAACAGAGTAAGACTCCAACTCAAAGAAAAAAATAGTGAGCCAGAGGGAATTCCTTTGAATAAAGTGAATAAGGCATAGGTAAGACATGCTCGGTGCCACTTATAAATGATAATGATAAAATACTACAATAAAATTTTAAAAGCAATTTTAATAGTGACACTTTTTTTTAGCACATTTCATGCCCCTCTCTATTCTTCATTAAAGTTATTCCCCCTAGATACTAGAAAGTTTTCTTTTTGAGATTATTATGTTATTCTGTCTTCTCCACTTTATCTTCCTTGATTTAGTTTTAGAAGAAGCAATTGGAGCCAAAGCTGAAAGTGTGACTTCTGAGAATGCTCCAAGCAAAACAAAGGTAAGAGTCAGCTATGTATTTTTAGGGAGAAAGTTTAAAACTTTGCGGATTTGGAAAAAAGAGGAAAAATTTTAGAAAATTATGTAGTGACCATTAGAATAAAATCAGCCTATGCTACAGTTGGCTTATTGTTGCAATTTTGAGTGATAAGTATATTTCCAAATAAATGCCATATCATTTGAGAGAACTAAAGCCAAAGAACCATTCTTAAAGGAGCATTCTCATATCAAAATAACCCCTCAGGCCTGCAAAGAGGGCCTTCAAAATAGAGACTGATAATAACAAATGTCCCAAATTCCTTCCTATTTGCTCTGAGGGCTACCCGACACTGCCTCTGATTCCCACACATGGCTCTTTACAATCGGCAGAAGCATTAGCAGTGTGGTTACAAAGTTTGGTTCTGAAATGAACTCAAGTGTAAGCTTCTAATAGCAGCTGGGCCTGGGAACCATCTGGCACTGCATGGCCTAGTTTCTGCATTTGATGTGCTTCCAGCAGAAGGCTTTTCCATTCTCTCCCTGAGCTACACAGGGTGTGAGAAAGAGCACCCCAGGCTAGGAAAGAGAAAGGCAAAAACTTGAGAGGCTTCGTTGCATAATTTGTTATTTGTTTATGACTTAGATGCATAAAGGAACACTCAGTGCCTAGAGCCTGCCTGCACATCCAGAGCAGTCAGCAAAGTGTTTTTCAGGATTGAAAACATTAGACTGTTTGAATGAAAGCAAATGATTTGCTCACAGGATGTCTTCTGTCCCTTCAAACAACACAAATCAATTATAGGAATCAATTATTATCTAATGTTCAAGAGTAGTTTATCAAGCCTAAGGTAGAATTACAGCTGTAGAAACTGGTTCATCAAGCAACGTAAAGGATCTTATAAAGAAAAGTTCAACTCCACTTTGGAGTTAGCAAAACTGGCACACATTTTATGAACTGTTGACTCGGAATCCCAGACTTTCTGTTGACAACACATTTGAAATGTCTATGGAAGATACTAATAAAAGGATTAGAAAGGAGCAAACAGTGTTGTCTTGTTTTGTTTCGTTTTTTTGTCCTGTGTTCTTTGTTTGTTTGGTGGCCTGTTAAATCAGTCCTGTGGAGTCTTGGTTGGGTTTAGAGGTGGATGCTCACTGGATCTTTGTGTGTCTTATCTTGCAGATGCTGAAAGAAACACACTTGGGATTACTCAGTGACAGCACTGCTGACTCCAAAGAAAACTCTAGCAGGAAGAGAAATGGAGTGTACACAGATAAACATTCCCTGCTCAGTAAAAGGCTCAAGACATGAAGGATTCACATTCTAAACCAAGACAATTGTCAAGAGTCATAGAGAATGAGTGGATATGACTCTCTTCACTCATTCTCTTACTCTCAATAGAGAGTACTTCTCGATTTTACTCTCAAGGTAGAATTGTCAGTCAGCTTAGATTTGTAAATAAAAAGGTAAATGAGTAATCAGAATCAGCCAAGTGATAATCAAACCACGTCAAGAGTATTAGTTAAACCTCCATCCTGTTAATGTCTTACTTGAGAGTTCTAAAGGTACTTAATTTATTCTACTAAATATAAGCTTCAAATTTAAAATTAAGTTGACATTTTACTTCATATGTTTTAATGTTTGAAATTAAAAAGCAAAGCATAATAGTTTCCTTAATTTGGGAGACTTAGAACCTTAAAATATGAATTCTGTACTGATTTCATATACAAAAATATATTTATGGACAGTAATAAAATAAAAGATGATATAAACCAAAAATTCTTACTTGAAAAGTGTTTACCCTCCTTTTACAGAGAATATTAAGAGTTAGGTTGATAAAAATCAAAGTCATTCAGGAAAAAAAATCAAATACAGCAAATACTAAAAAGTGAGTGAATAATTCAGCCTCTGGTGGGGAACTTGGTTAATTACCATCATATGGAGACTGAAAGGAAAACAAGGAGTATACATAAAAACACTCACATAAAGACATTTCTGAATACCGCATGTTCTCACTCATAAACAGACTCCGATCACTGGTCACAGGAGCAAAAGGATGAGTCTTGTAAACCCTGGACACTGCCAGGAGAGCGAGGGAGGAAGGAGGAAGGGGAACACATGGCAACACACTGGGTACCCACTCCACTATCAAGGGGAGAGAAGGCCAACTAGAAGCCCAAATTTCACCTGCATGCAACCTACTTATGTAGTATCCTCACTTATACCCCATGACTATAAAATAAAACAAAAAATAATAATAAAATAAAAAGATGTTTCTGGAACAGCAGCAGTAGCTGAAGCACAGCATTCAGAGGCAGGAAACTTCTGTCTACTCACGGGTTATATCACCTCAGCCAAAGCATTTACCTGTCAGGTAAGAAATTATCTTTTTGTTTGTTTTTGAGTTGGAGTCTCACTCTATCACCCAGGCTGGAGTGCAGTGGCACACTCCTGGCCACTGCAGCCTCAACCTTCTGAGCTCAGGGCATGCTTCCGCCTCAGCCTTCCAAGTAGCTGGAACTACAGGCACACACCACCGCACCCAGCTAATTTTTTATTTATTGTAGAGGTGAGGTCTCGCCAAGTTGCCCAAGCTGGTCTTGAACCTGTGGGCTCAGGCAATCCTCTCACCTCGGCCTTCCAATGTGCTGGGATATAGGCGTGAGCCATGGCTCCCAGTCAAGAAATCATCTTTCAGTCAGTCATCTTCCTCTTATCATCAAGTTCATCATAACTATGCACTCCCTCATACACTAGAGAGGGGCACACAAACACACACACACATTTCTAGCCAGACACTAGCAATAGGAAGTGAGGAGACCCAAGATATCAAGGTTTTCTTTGTTATGTGATAGTACCATAGCTTCAGTAGGAGGCTAATGTATTGAACTGGAAGAAATATAAACTTTAGTGTTGACTTTTCCATTACCACTCTATTGCTTTCCTAATAGTTATAAAACTTTGTGGTTTGTTTTTATTCCATAAAGAAGAGATAATAATTTAACTATGGCTGTTCCATGATAAACGAGAGGGAGGTTAAGAGAAAATTAATTATAAAACTCTTCCTTTCTGAGTTCATTATAAAAATGCTATAAAAATCTGAGGTCTTGTTATTAAACATTTTTTACTCCTAAAAGCATGCCTGTGACTCTGGATCCTGGCAGGATAATACTGATGTTGGTTCCTGGGAGCTGGTGGGAGTAAGATCATTTCAAGATAATAGGACATTTCACAACCCAGGTCTACACTCCTCTGAGCCTCTCTTATGAGAGTACTTGTCTCCTTCTCTTACTGGAGCCACCATATATGCTCAAGAGAGGGAGCAGAAGGAGAAAGCCCCATGCCTGTGTTATGAGTTATCCAAATGTAAAACAATAGAAAACTAAGGCTTTTTACTCTTCAACATATTCCACTCTTCTTCATTACCTACAAATTAGGCTTTTATAATAAAGAGGTGAGATATGGAAATAAGTGACTTCCTGAATGCAACAGACACTGCCTATGGGTGCAGTTCCAGGTAGCTGCTTCATTTCCTTGGTGTCAAAATAGAGACTGTGTCATTTTGGGTCCTGTTAGACCCAAGACAGAATTTCAAGACAGATATCTAACATAGAGCTAGAAGTGCAAGAGATTGCCAAGCACAGTGGCTTATGCCTGTAATCCCAGAATTTTGCAAGGCTTAGGGAGGAGAATTGCTTCAGCCCAGGAATTTGAAACCAGCCTAGGGAACGTGGCAAGACCTTTTGTCTACAAAAATTCAAAAAATGAACAGAGCATGGTGGCATGCGCCTGTGGTCCCAGCTACACTGGAAGCTGAGGCAGAGGAATTACCTGAGCCCAGGAGGTTGAAGCTGTGGTGAGCTGTGATTATGCCACTGCACTCTAGCCTAGGTGACAGAGTGAGACTGCAACTCAAAAAAAAAGACAGAGAGAGAGATGCAAGAGAGTGATAAGAAGTAACAGTTCTGAATGATGAAGGAGCAGAGAGCAGTACTCAACTGAGGAAAACCTTCAGGTCTGACTTCAGGAGACTAGCCAAAAAGGAGAACTGAGTAGGAAGAGCCTCCGATTGAGGTGCAGTTCTGAGAAAGTCTTAGCCTGGACACTGGGGAGCTCCTGTGCAAAGATAACCCATAAAAGAGACCTGTGCTAGCCAGAAATGAGCAGGTCTTGTATCTTCGCCAACTGCAGTCATTGGTTGGGAGGTCCAAGAGGGAGAGTGTCCAGTTTGAACACTGCAACGGATTTTGAAGACCCTGTAGCTGGGAGGCCGTCAGCCAACTGCACTCCCCACCACGGATTCTTGAAGGGAGAACTGAGTAATATACTCCCATGACAGCTGGAGTTCAGCCTTTAGCCCTCCATCTCTAGGATCTCCTCCTCCAGGATTCCCATGAGTGTCTCTTTCTGAGGGGAGACATAGAAGAGTGAGGTTACCAGGGCAACCCAAAACTCATGTCACTGAAAATAGTCCCAGGGCCACAACTGAATTATCATTTTCCTTCTCCACTACTGAAATTCCACTTACCCCAGCTAATACTTCTGCACATCCGGGTCTGCACCCACCCCCACTCCTAAAGAGTCTGAGTCCTGGTGACCACACCCTTCTCGGGCTTTGGCTGCCCTACTAGTCCATCCACAGTTACAATTAGACAAGGAGTGCCAAAGGCCACCAAAGAGTATCCTCTGAATTCCACACTTATTCTTCCTGCCCCTCTATGGAACAGCAACTCTACCTAGCCCTCATAATCAAGGTCAATCAACTCTGTCAGTATGGTGACTCCTCACCTGCGGCTTCCTAGACACAGAGTCCAAGAAGCTCAGGTGTCATCTGTAGCCTGTAGTTTAACAGGACGCTTGCTTTGCCCCTTGGCAAAGTACCCCCACAGGAGACCAGGCCCTCTGATCCTGAGGGATAGAAAGGATAAAATTCTCCAATGCATCGTTGTGGGTAAGAGGGGCCATGACCTGCTTTCACCTCTTGGATCCAGGATCCTATTGGCAACACAGTGCCATATGGAAAACTCTGATGCAGCACAAACCCTGCGTCCTGAAAAGTAACAAGCTGACACTTCCTACACCTTCAGCAGTGTCCTCCAATTCTACCAGGCTGGATGTTTCTGGGTGGTGTGAGTGTAATACAAGCAGGCGATCTCACGGTCACAGGCCCACCCCCTACATCTTCACTGCAGCACGACTTCTCTCTTTGAATGATGTGTTTTATAAGATTCCATGCCTGTGGGTCAGGCACTCTCTCCCTGTGAGAGCAAACCACTGGCTTTTCCAGGATTAAAGGGGCCCAATGTAGTCAGCTTGTTGCCAAGTAGCTGGTTGGTCTCCTTAAGGAATGGTATCATATCAGGGGCTTTGTGTGATTCTCTGTATAGGCAGATAAAGCATTCTGGGAACCAATGGCTAGATAGCGTCTTGGTGAGTGGGAGTCCGTGCATTGGCCCGTGCGTTGCCTCCAGCTCTGCCACTGTGTCCAGCCTGTTCATGAACCCATTATGCCCACTGTGGGGTGGCTGATGACAAAAGCTGGCTGATATCAAACAGCCAAGCCATTTTGTCTACTTTTTGTTCAATGCCTCTTCTATGGTGGGTGATTCTTGGTGGATATTCACGCGTGATACAAAAATCTTTTTAATTTTTTTCTTCTGTAGAGACAAGTTCTCACTATGTTGCCCAGGCTGGTCTCAAACTCCTGGGCTCAAGCCATCCTCCCACCTCAGCCTCCCAAATTGCTGGGATTATAGGCATGAAACTCCATGCTTGGCCGATATGGAAATCTTAACATGGTAGTTACTCCGTATGCCCATTCCTATGCCTCTGTCCCATATCTCCTTTGTCTCAGATATTCTAGTACTTGCAGGCTCCTGATCAGCTAACCGGGCCATTCACCACTGCTCATGACTCATGCTCCACTGCTCCACATATATACACACCTCACTTCCCGCTCCCACATGAGGTGGATGTCTAGGTGTGCCATTCAAATTTCTGCCACTGGGAAGATTTTCTGTTATCACTCTTTCAAGGCCACCATTGAATGTATCTATAGAGTAGTCATCATCCCTTTGACTGCAATGGCAAGTCTCTGAATCGTCGCAAGGTTTGCCTTCCACCCTCTTGAGTATGTGTTTTACTGACATTTCCAGCACACTAGTTCCTCTTGCTGAGAAGCTTCTCTTGTTCTTCCTGCCAGGTCAACAAGCTGTATCACTCCATTATTCTGCAGGATGCCCAGATGATCCAGATCTCTTTAGACTATGGGCAATTATGACTAAGGGCAGGCGCATTAACATAACTTTAGGAAAAAAGTATAAAGAATCCTGTAATCTGAGGACTTTGGGAGTCTGAGGCAGAAGGATTGCTTGAGCTAAGATATTCAAAACCAGCTTTGGCAACATAGGGAGACCTTGTCTCTGCCAAAAAAAAATCAAAAATATTAGCCAGGTGCGGTGGTACGCACCTGTAGTCCCAGCTACTTGGGATGCTAAATCTGAAGGATCACCTGAGCCCAGAAGGTCAAGGCTGTGGTGAACAATGATTTTGCCACCGGATGCCAGCCTGGGTGACAAAGTGAGAGCCTGACTCAAATACACATTTTAAGAGACGTTATCTATGTATTACTTTTCAAAGTTGAATTTAATTATGGCAGCAATGTGTAATATGATGCTCACTCAACCATGCTTCCACCATTTTATTTTATTTATTTATTTATTTTTTGAGTTGGAGTCTCACTCTGTCACCCAGACTGGAATGCACTGGCCACTCCCGGC